TCACTTCCCGGTCTTATAAACATGTGACCACGAGAATGAGATAAAAATCTCAGTAATAGAATAACTCATTCATATTGACTATCACATGCAACAATATGAAAGTAAACATAGTATATCATTAAGACCTCATAAAATAACATTTATATCACATATCTCATTTCATTCTCAACTTTTCATCAAATCACAAAGGATTGCATGTTATCTCAAGATATTTCATTATATCCCATCAAAAACTAGCATGATCTCTACCAACCTAACCTCTAAATCACCTCGACATGAAACCATAGGCTCATCTCAAACCAATGTACACTATCATTAGTCTTGGGCTCACCTATAGTGGTAGAATCATCTGGCCAAAGATGTTCTAACGCACAATACGGACTATGGTTGCCCCCAATACACACAACGGGGCATCATTGACTCCAACTCTATATCACAAAGATACTAAGGAGTCTCTCATCTCCAATACTATACCTCAATATGCACTAAGAAGATCTTCTCCAACACCGCACCTTTCAAGGCACTAAGGAGAATTATTTCCAATACCGCACCCTAACAGGGTACTAAAGAAACCTTGTCATATAGTCTTTATCATCTCCTTCACTCAGGTAAACTCCTACTCCTATGATCATGCTTTCCTAAACCATTTAAGGTTCCCATTTACCATATCACACTCTCTTGCACATTATATATATATATATATATATGAATAATATTTTTTTCATTACAAAACATACTTTTCAACTAAAAGTCATTTCACACACAACAATCACTCAATGTTGTAAAACATACTTAGTTTGAAACCATTCCATGCACTATATAGCATACTAATATACAATTACAATAAACAGTCAAACAAAGAAAGTTATTTGGTTACCTCAACCCTTTTGTCACTAGAAAGTTACCCATGGATTTCAACTATCACACAAGCTTATCTCAAGCTTCCTTTCTTTATGCACAAGTCTAATATGCCAATTTGAACACATTTGGCACATTTTAGTAATTTGGTCCATTTTGACTAAAAACTTATTTTTACCACTTAGGGTTATATTCATCTGTAAACTCTTTTCCATTTATCCATTCTAAGTCCATGACTATCTGATTACTACTTTATGTCACGTCAACTAGTCTTATTTCACTTAAAATAGATTTCTGCCCTAACTTTCTCTCTCTAAAGGCTAAAATTGAGCTTATGGGTTCAAAGCTCTATCATTCAGCTCAAAACTAGTCGCAAAGCTCTAATTTAACCTTCGAGATCCTTTTATTACTATTGGGCAAGAATCAAACCCCTTAAATTCCTTCAATTCAATTTCCCTATAACTCATTTTTAGAGTAATTTGTGTAGAATGGAAGGTAAGAGTTATATGTAGCTTACATGACAAGTTACCAATCCGAATCACCTTCTATCGCTCTAAAATAGCTCGACCTAGCTCCTCAGCCCTTCTCCACTCTTTATCTTGTGTGTTTCTCAATTTTTCTCCTTTGAATTTTCTAAAATTTCATGACTTATGAAGTAAATTTCTGGTCCATGCACCGTGGCACATACAACACAAGCCGTGGCGCGTAGTACAGTGAGATTTATTCTCACCACGCACACTTGCTTCGACTCGAAACGCACTCCTATCACCCATATCTGTTCATGCAACATACAAACAAGTTAAAATACCAATTATTCATCTAAATCCCTAATCCCACTCTAATTTCGACTTTACCCTTGATTAACCTCTAAACTTAGGATTAAGAAATTCAGGATGTTACAGTTTTCCCCTCCTTTTAAGAATTTTGCCCACAAAATTCATAAAAGACATAAATATATACCTATGGAAATAGGTCAGGGTACTGTTGCTTCATTCTATCCTCTGTCTCCCAAGTAGCATCGCTATGAGTCATGCCTCGCCAGAACACTTTAACTAATTGTATGGTCATGTTTCGTAATTGCTTCTCTGTCACATTTAAGATTTGCTCTGGCTCAGCCTTATATGTTAAATTTTCCTGGAGTTCAATTTCCTTCGGTTCTATCACTTGTGAAGGATCAGGTTGATATTTCTTGAGCCATGACACATGAAACACGTCATGCATACCTAATAATTGTAGTGGTAAAGCTATCCTGTGGCTACTGGTCCAATTCTCTCCAGAATCTCGAAAGGACCAATGAATCTAGGAGTCAATTTCTTGGCTCTTATTGATCTCTTGATTCCTATCACTAGTGTAACCCTTAGAAAAACATAGCCTCCCACTAGGAACACTAATTGCCTTCTACGCTTTTCTGCATAACTCTTTTACCTCCTCTAAGCCGTTAACATCTTTTTCTTGACTAACTTAATCTTTTGAGTTATCTGATCTATAATATTCGATCCTAATATACTCCTTTCGATCAACTCTATCCAGCAAAGAGGCAATTGTATTTTCTCCCATACAATGCCTTATACAGTGCCATTTATATATTAGAGTAGTAACTATTGTTGTAAGCAAATTTAGCCAAAAGGAGATGGCTATCCCAGCTACCTTTCAATTCCAATACATAGGCTCTCAACATATCCTCTAAGGTATGTATGGTCCGCTCTGTCTGCATATCTGTTGGTGGATGATATACTATACTAAATCTCAACTCAATACCTATGGCACGCTGTAAAGCTCTCCAAAACTTGGAAGTAAATCTTGAATCTCTATTAGAAATTATATTCTTTAGCACACCATGTAACCTTACCACTTCTTGAATATAAATCTCTGCCAACTTTTCTAAAGAATCACTAATTTGAATCACTAAGAAATGAGCCGATTTAGTAAGCCTATCGACTATGACCCAAATAGCATTATGTTTAGATTGAGTTCTTGGCAACCCAGTTATAAAATTCATAGAAATGCTCTCCCATTTCCACATAGGAATATCCAATGGTTGCAACTTTCCTACTAGTCTTTGGTATTCTATTTTAACCTTTTGACAGGACAAACACTTAGTCACAAACTCCGTTACATCTTTCTTCATACCAGGCCACCACCTATATCACTTTACATCCTGTTACATCTTTGTAGCTCTTGGATAGATCATGTACTTGCTACAGTGAGCCTCATTCAAGATAACCTTTCTCAGATCTAGATCATCAAGCACAAAAATCATATCCCAATAAACCATAAAACCATCATCATTTAATCCAAACTCGATATCTTGATCTGCTTCAATCTCTTCTTTAACCTTTAAGAGACTTTCATCTTCTAGTTATGCCATTCTCAATTCTTTCCAGAATCATTATTAATCTCAGTGGAATAAGCACCAACCAATGCCTTCAATGGCATATCCTACTGCGACTCAACAAATGACTCCATCAATCTGTGTTCCTTAACCAAAAGACTTGCTATATACAAAGTCTTCCAACTCAAAGTATCAGCAACCACATTAACATTGCCTGGATGGTATTTCAATTCAAAGTTATAATCTTTAAGAAGCTCCATCTATCTTCTTTGCCTCATATTCAATTCCTTTTGATCCACCAAGCATTTCAAACTCATATGGTCGCCAAACACAGTGAACACTATACCATACAAATAATAGCGCCAAATCTTTAGAGCAAACACCACTACTATAAGCTCTAAATCATGCATAGGATAATTCTCCTCATGTGGTCTCAATTGTCATGAAGCATAGGCTATAACTCGACTATCTTGCATCAAGAGACAACTAAGATCTTTTAAAGACGCATTTGTGTATACCTCGTAAGGTAACCTTGGATTAGGGATAATCAACACTGGTGTCATGGTTAATTTCTCTTTTAACTTCTGAAATGCCACTTCACACCGATCATCCCATATATAAGGCTAATATTTTTGAGTTAGTTTAATCAAAGAAGAAGCTATCTGGGAAAATCCTTAGATAAATTGTCGATAATACCTAGCTAATCCTAAAAAACTATGTATCTTAATGACTAAACTAGGACGTTCCCATTTCAACACTGTATTAACCTTATGCGGATATACTGAAATTCCATCCATAGATACCACGTGTCCCAAAAATCTCACTTCTCTTAACCAAAACTCACACTTACTAAGCTTAGCATTCAACTTTCTATCTTTTAAAGTTTGCAGTATTATTCTCAAATGCCTCGCATGTTGCTCCTCATTCTCAGAATAGATCAGGATGTCATCTATAAAGACCACTACAAACTAATCTAAGTATGACATAAACATTTGATTCATATAATCCATGAATACTACTAGCACATTGGTTAAATCAAATGGCATAACTAAGAATTCATAATGGCCATACTTAGTTCTGAAAGCTGTCTTGGGTACATCTATTGCACTAACTCTCAACTGATGATACCCTGACCTTAAATCAATCTTAGAGAAGACTGAGGCACTGGCTAATTAATCTAAGAAATCATCTATCTTTGGTAGAGGATACTTGTTCTTCATAATTACCTTATTCAATTGCCAATAATCAATGCACAGTTGCAAACTACCATCCTTCTTTCTCACAAACAATATCGGTGATCCCTAAGGTGATACACTTAGTCTGATGAATCCTTTCTCTAGTAAATCTTCAATCTATTTCTTTAGCTAAACCAATTTTGACAGTGACATTCTATAAGCGGCCTTTGATATTGGTTTAGTTCTAGGAACCAAATCGATGGAGAACTCAACTTCCCTTTCAGGAGGTAATCTAGTCATTTATTCTAAAAATACCTTTAGGAACTCACTATCCCAATCGTCTTAATCCTACCATCATACATTATATTGGACGTAAAGAATACTATATAGGCATCACAACCTTGCCAGATCAACTTCTCAATACTAACTACTGATAGAAATTTAGGTTGCTCTAAAGATTCCTTAGCTGCACACAACACTGGTAGTGAAACCACTCTTTTGGCATAATCAAGCATAGCATTATTCACTGTTAGCCAATCCATGCTAATTCACACATCTATTACTCTCATAGGAATACAAATTAGATCGATCTTATAAACTCTGTTCTCAAATTGAATCTCCATATTCTGACAAGCTTAACTTGTAATACTAGACGATCCAAAAGGTATCGTCACTTTAATGAGCACAGGCAATTCTTGTAAAGACAATTTCAATCTATCCACACATTCCTTAGACATAAAAGAATGGGTGGCACTCGAATCAAACAATGCCTTTATTTTGTGACCATTAACAGAAATCATATCTCTGATCATGTTTAGAGATGCTTTGGCCTCTTCTTGTGTAACCGCGAATACTTGGCCAGGAACCATTGATCTCTGCTTAGCCCCTTCAACTCTGCCTTCTGGGCATTGCCTTGCTATATGACCTAACTTACCACACTTGTAGCAAGCCCAACATATTCTTGGATGAGATATACTACATATGTTGCACTGGGGCATCATTCCAGTACTCAAAGTCAGACTTGGAACATTCGATGCTTGCCTCAAAGACTGTAGAGGCCCAATTCTCACACCTCCACCCTTTTGCATTGACCCTCTATGCACAGGTCGAGACTGCGACCCTCGACTGAAACCTCTTCTTCCAAAAGAACTGAAACTGCTTGCACTGAAACCAGGCAACTTTGAGATTCCACTAGTCGGACCCAAATAAGATGAAAATCTTCCTATACTATCTCGCCTCCTTTCAGCATGTACCTCTTTATCACGGCTAGCTACTACCCTCTGCTTGTGGCACATCTCCTTATATGTCATCATATCAAGCAGTGCTATCTGTTATAGGTACTCGGGTCTCATCTTTTCAAGTAATCTCTCAGCTTTCCACCTTGAGTCATTACTATGTTGAAGATATGTGGAGTAAGCTGATAAGTCATTAAATCTTCTTGTGAATTCTTCCTCATCCACATCTCCCTACTTGAAAGCATGAAATTCCTCTTCTTTCTGAGTTCTAAATGAGACTAAAAAGTATTGATTAAAGAATACTCTCTTGAACTCATTCTAGCTCAATTAAATACCACTAGTTGGTCTCACAGATTCCCACCACCTCTTAGCAGCACTAACCAACTATGTCATGGCCAAGATAACTTTTTTCTCTGAAGTACAGACCACTACCTCAAAGATGGTTTCCATTCACTCTATCTAAAATTTTGTTTCACCTTCTCTCATACTTTCATCAAATGTCGGCTGGTTATCGAACAAACATCTTCCAAGCACGATCAATAGATGAATTAGTACTCAAAATCTTTGGTCCATAACCTAAATTTCGAGACGATCTAGGTCTAGTATATGCTTCATGCACTGGAATTTTTTGAGCTTCAACTCTCTCTTCTCGCTCTCTACCTCATAGGATTGTGTCATGATCCCTAATAGTTTGTCTTATACCGACAACCATATCCTTGAGCTCTTCCAGTAGCTCATGACATTTATCCTTTTTGTGACTGAACTGGTTGAACTTCTAGCTCTCGTTCCTCCTCTACAACTCATCTAGATACTGTAGTTTTCACTCGAGTGCCTCTCATTCTATACTATTTTCTCCCCTCCTAAGGACGAAAATAGGAGACACAAAAAATAAAGCTGTGTAATGAATAAGATCAGCTGCCATATTTCTAAATGAATGCATCAATAATAATCAGGTCTCAAAAACTGAGAAATTGATATCAAAATGTAACCTCCTCTCATGTATCTACTTAATATGAGAGAAGACTATGGTGTTACCACTACCCACATCAATCATAACAATCAAATTTCATTTCAAAAGCTTTGGCCAAAGACTTATTTTGTAAAAAAAATTAAATCACAATACAATCAGAGAAAACACAGTGGAAGTAAATCATACACTCTTTAAATACATAGTGGACATAACCCACTAGCATTTTTGCCCTAATTGTATGCATTTCAACACAAACTAAAACTGAAATTTGGTACATGCTCCGCGTCGAGTGATCTGTATGCCATGGCATGTGGCACAGAGCCACACACTCGCCCTTTTTATGTCATGTGCTGCGACATGTGTTACCATATGTCGTGGTGTGCCTATCTGAATTTCTACTATCATTTTGACAACAAAAATGATAAACTTTTGGTGTGCACTAATTTCTTATACGACATCTGATTGGAGTGATTCAAGCACCCATATGAAGCTTAGTTCATATACTAACTAATGAGATAGGCTTGGACATGATCTAATAGTCCAATCAAAATTTAGATACCCGCATATAAAAAATCACTATTTCTAAAATAATTTACGCACCCAAGCACTCAATCCAATCCCTTTCTCTCATTAGACCACACTAGGCCATGAACCAAGTCTAAAAGGATCTAATACACTTGATTGACCCCTCTTTGGCTAATTTCCACAATTTACTGATTTCACAAACTATGCCATTTCTTGGCATAACATAGCTTACTTGTCTATTTCTCAACTCATACATATACAATCATATTCATAATGCAATCTTAGCTTCCAAATTACTTATTTCATCATAATTTATCCTTTGGCTTAAGATTCACCAACATAAAATCATTTCATCATAATTTAAACATATTTGGCACATTTTAGTCATTTTGTCCATTTTGACCAAAAACTTATTTTTACCACTTAGGGCTATATTTATCTATAAAATCTTTTTCATTTATCCATTCTAAGTCCATGATTACCTAATTACTACTTTACATCACCTCAACTGGTCTTATTTCACTCAACATAAATTTTTACCCTAACTTTCTCTCTCTAAAGGCTAAAATTGAGCCTACAGGTTCAAAGCTCTTCTGTTCAGCTCTAAACTAGTTGTAAAGCTCTAATTTAACTTTGAGAAACTTTTTATTACTATTAGACAAGAATCAAATCCCTCAAATTCCTCTGATTCAATTTCCCTATAACTCATTTTTAGAGAAATTTGTGTAGAATGGAAGGTAAGAGTTATACGTAGCTTAACTGACAAGGTACCGATCTAAATCACCTTTCACTGCTCCAAAATAGCTTAACCTAGCTCTTCAACTGTTTTCCTCTCTCTATCTCATGTGTTTCTCAATTTTTCTCCTCTGAATTTTATGAAATTTCATGACTTATAAAATGAATTTCTAGTCCATACGCTGCGGCGCATGCAGCAAAAGCCACGGCAAGTGGTACAGTGAGATTTATTCTCACCATGCACACTTGTTTCGACCCAAAACGCACTCCTATCACCCATATCTATTCATGCAACACACAAACAAATCAAAGTACTAACTAATCATCTAAATTTCTAATCCCACTCTAATTTTCATTTCACCCTCGATTAACCTCCAAACTTAGGATTAAGAAATTCAAGATATTACATCCAGCATGTATTGGGGGTGCATGATTGTTACTTTTGTGACCCCGTGTCGTGCTTTGTGAAATATCATGATATTGTGTGTTGGGGGCTTGGTCACATGATTGTTAATTTTGTGAATCATGGCCGAGTATTTATTCTTGATATCTGTGCTTATTTGCCTGTTTGCTTCTATTTATAATTGATATGTAACTGTATAGGTTAGGTGAAATTTGGTCACTGAGTGGTTGTACTCACCCCTCAATTATCAATAGTTTCAGGACCTAGCTCATCGGATCTAAATCAGGAAAAACACACAAAGGCCTAGGATTGTGAAGTAATCCTCTTTATGCCTGTTTTGTTATATTCATGTGTATTTGTTGATGTAATTGCCAACTAGGATGATTTGACATGATTTATGCACTACTTGCATGATTTTATGTATAGTTTGTGTATTTTGTGCCCTAGGTTAGTGAGTTTTGATTGTAAACCCATGGATAAGGCCAAAATACTTGTGCAAGTAGGAACATATGTATTTTGAAAGATTTAGGATGAAACTAATGATTTTATGCAATATTTCCTCCCCTTTTATGTTTTATGAAAATAGGTTTGAGTGGTGATTTTATGAGTATTTTTGATTAGGTGTGATGTGTTACATGGGTTCGTGAGAGTCCATTGAGTGTAGTTGGATGGTTGGTGTGAGCTATTGGCATGAATGGCTGAGTTGGGACACCTATTTTTTATAAAATTTTGTGAAAAAGTAGTCAAGATGAGTTTTGGTATCCAACATTTTATAGAGTGAGAGTTAGAGCATGAAACTAGTGCCAATAGCTATAGCTAGGAGCAAGCTCTGTGTAGACACAGAAACCACCCCAATCGGACATTGGATGGAGATTTAGGACACATTAGAAGTTTGCTCCCTATGCTGTCAAATGATAGCACTGATGTTGTCAAATTTGTGTAATGCGCCACTGCATATGGTGCCTCACGCCGTGGCATATGGTACAGAGAAAACAAGCCGTGCTGCATATGCTGCAAGCCGCGGCGCACGTATCATTTTCTATATAAAATCTATTTTTGAGTTTTGAAACTCATTGTTTTGAGTCCCAATTGATTTCCAAGCTTTCGCATTATTTTTAAAACTCTGATATAAACTTATTAAATAATGTTTAAGATTTGAATTGTTAAAATTGGGATTCCTTCCAAAAAAGAATTTGAAAATTTTTCTTTATAAAATTTTACAATTTGGTAATCCTTTAAGGGTTAAACCCTAGATTGCCATGATTTGGAGTTAAACATAGTTTAGTAAGGCAAATCTTACACCCACAATGTTCATGGATTATATAAACCGTATATTCAAGCCGTATTTAGATCATTTTATAGTGGTCTTTATAAATGACATCCTAATCTATTCGGAGGATGAGGAGCAACATGTGAACCATTTATGAATAGTGCTCTACATTTTGAAAGATAAGAAGTTGTATACCAAGCTCAGTAAGTGTGAGTTTTAGTTGAGAGAAGTCTAATTTTTAGGACACGTGGTGTTTGCGGATGGGATTTCTGTGGATCCACATAAGGTTGATGTAGTATTGAAGGGGAAGCATCCTAGTTTGATCACGGAGATGTGTAGCTTTATGGGATTGGCTGGGTATTATCGACGCTTTATCTAAGGATTTTCCTATATAGCTTCTCCTTTGACTAAATTGACACAAAAAGATCAGCCTTACTTTTGGGATGACTAGTGCAAAGTAGCTTTCTAGCAACTAAAAGAGAAGTTGACCACAACACTAGTATTGATTATCCCTAATCCAAGATTGCCTTACAAGGTATACATGGATGCATCATTGAGAGGCCTTGGATATGTGTTAATGCAAGAAAGTCGAGTTGTAGCATATACTTCTTGATAGTTAAGATCGCATGAAGGGAACTATTTTGCTTATAGTTTAGATCTTGTAGCCATGGTGTTTACTCTAAAAATTTAGCTCCATTGTCTGTATGGTGCAGTATTCAAGGTGTTTAGCAACCATAAGAGTCTAAAATACTTAGTGGATCAGAAGGAGCTGAATATGAGGCAAAGGAGATGGATGAAGCTTCTTACGGATTATAACTTTGAATTGAAATACCATTCGGGTAAAGCTAATGTGATTGCTAATGTGTTGAGCTAGAAGACTTTGCATGTGGCAAGTCTAATAGTTTGGGAGCATAGGTTGATGGAGTCCTTTATTAAGTCGTAGCAAGATATGCCATTGAAGGCATTAGTTGGTGCCTATTCCACAGAGGTTAGTAATGATTTCTGGAAGGAATTGAGAATGGCACAACTAGAAGATGAGTGTCTTGTGAGGATCAAAGAATAGATTAAAGAAAATCAAGCTGTTGATTTTAGTTTTAATAATGACGGGTTCGTAGTCTATCAAGATAGAATTCATTTACCTAACAATGCTGATCTGA